ACACACACACACACACACACACACACACACACACACACACACACACACACACACACACACACCACAGTCTAAAGCCTGTTTGTGTACCACAGCGGCAGAAGATGGCTTTTATTTTCATTTATAAGAGACATTTCACAGGGGAATGCATTTCAAAACATTAAGAAAAAAGAATGAGGAAAACAACACAGCACTAAAACGCCCTCTGAGATAAATGTTTCTAATATAAATTAACAGTTTGGGGTTTTTRAAGTGGTGCACTGTTGAATTGTTATAAGTAATCAATATCTTACCTACAGTAGATGGCGATCAGGGCGTGATTAGTTTGGAAAAAGTTTTCTCCGGGGAAATGGGATAACGGAACCAGCTCAGAAGCAGTCTTTTTTTTTGTCTTAATTTAATTCCCTTTAAAAAATGTTTACAGCAATTTGTGTAAATGCTGTTTTTCAATCTTTGGGTCATCCTCACCTTTGCATTAGATAATGTTGTATAATTGAGATGTCAAGATGTCAAGAGAGCAAAACAAATTCACAGATTTCTATCAATAGACTTGTCCAAAAAAGCTGTTTTTACTTCTAAAACTCCCCGCTGCCAGCTTCTTACAACCAAAAAGACATGCAGAAAGGTGTTARTCTTCAAGTGCTTCTAAGTGGTTGTAGGTGGTTAAGCATTAGATTTTGTTATCTGGCTGGTTTACCAGATAAAAGTTTCAAAGTTAGCTCAGAAATAAATTTGTACAATGGAGACAAAGTTGCGTTTCACAGTTTGCAAACTCAAACTTATGAAGATTTTTTCATGGAACCTATACTATTAGTAATCACAGTAACATTGTAGAGTCCGTGCTCTGCCTGGAGCAGTGTTTTCTGCCTTCTAACAGGACCATGTAACATTTAGCTGCTAAATGTTTAGAATAAAAAAAATCAGGGCGTCACTGTATTTCTAATTTATCTACAGTATTTGGCATTGTTAGAGTTTACTTCAGCACGTTCTTGTCTGATGTTCAAATTTGTGACCCATCATATAAGGATTAAGTCAAATTTAGACAAAATGTCCTAATTACATTTTCAGATCCCTGGCTTTAAAAGCTGCATTTTGAACCTGGATCATCGTGATATCATAAGTTTTTCCCTGCGATATGACTTAATTTGTCTTGTTGGTTACGATAAAACCTTACTCTTTGGTCTGAATCCTAATTTTAAGTAAATTTATCAACTAATTTTTTTGTCAATATAAAGAGGAAACCTCAAATAGTATTTGTATATTAATTTTTCCCAGCTGGAAAGAAACAAAAACATTGCTGGGTCATAGGGAAAAATTCAAAATTTTAAGGCATTTTCCCTCAAAATCGTGTGTTTTGTTGCTACTGCTCAAAAAATGCTTCAAAAATTCTTTTTAGAATTATGTTTCAGATTCAAACTATACATTTATATGGCATTTTTTCATTATATTTTGACAAAATGCAATTTTTGGACACGTTTAAATCAAAACCCTAAATCTGCCTATTTCTCTACATTCTACTTTTGGACTTAATCCTCATTTCGATGTGATGGGACACATTTATTTATCCTTTTACAAGTGATTACTCTGATGTTTTTTTTTATTCAGATATGGAATGACTACAAACTCAAGTGGAACCCAAAAGACTACGGAGGTGTCGAGTTTATTCGGGTTCCATCCAGCAGAATATGGAAGCCTGACATTGTTCTGTATAACAAGTGAGTGGAACAACACACCCACTCTGGTGTTTCACCAAAACCCTGACCACACTATCAATATGTTCTCTCCTGTATTGTCTTTTCCACGTCTTTACAGTGCCGTTGGAGATTTCCAAGTTGATGACAAAACAAAAGCTCTCCTTCGCTACAACGGTGATGTCACTTGGATCCCACCCGCTATTTTCAAGAGCTCCTGTAAAATAGACGTTACGTATTTCCCTTTCGACTACCAAAACTGCACAATGAAGTTTGGCTCCTGGACCTACGACAAGGCCAAGATTGACCTGGTGTTGATTGGTTCAACCATCAACCTGAAGGACTTCTGGGAGACCGGTGAGTGGATAATCATTGATGCGCCTGGCTACAAACACGACATTAAATACAACTGCTGCGAGGAGATCTACACAGATATCACCTACTCCTTGTACATCCGCCGCCTGCCCCTTTTCTACACCATCAACATGATCATCCCCTGCCTCTTGATCTCCTTCCTGACGGTGCTCGTCTTCTACCTGCCATCCGACTGTGGAGAGAAAGTCACGTTGTGCATCTCCGTCCTGCTGTCTCTGACCGTCTTCCTCCTCGTCATAACCGAGACCATCCCCTCCACCTCTTTGGTCATACCCTTGATTGGCGAGTACCTCCTCTTCACCATGATCTTTGTCACCCTCTCCATCGTCATCACCGTTTTTGTGTTGAACGTCCACTACCGCACGCCAAAGACGCACACCATGCCCTGCTGGGTGCGGCGCATATTCCTGGGTCTGCTGCCCCGTGTGATGTTCATGACCAGGCCTGAGAGGGACCCAGAGAAGGTGACGGCGACTGGCGGCGTTCCGGTGGTGACTTCGAGATCCTGCGCCGTTCACTCTTCGGGTACCCTGCAGAAGCAGCACAAGCCTCAGGCTCTGGCCTCCAACGTGGTGTCGAGCCTCATGAAGCGACAGCGGCTCTTGAACAACACCGAGCTCTCCAACCTCAACAACCTGAGCGGAGACTCCAGCAAATGTGCCACCTCCGGTTTCCTGTGCTGCGAGGGTCGCTGCAACTGCTGCTGGCAGAAGAGATCAGGCAAACTGCCCTCAGACTCTGGGGGAGGGAGTGGTGGACTGGGCAGCCTGGGAGCCCTGACTGGAGGCGGGACGGCAGGGGCCGGAGTGGACAGTCAGTGTTCCAGCTCAGAGTCTCTGGATGGAGGAATGATGTTCCCTTTGCCTCTCTCGCCTGAGGTCAGGGAAGCCATTGAGAGTGTTAAATACATCGCTGAGAACATGAGACTGCAGAATGAGGCACAGGAGGTAGGAAGGAAAGCAACTTTCCACAGAAACAGTGGAAATACACTGCAGAAAACGTCCACCTAACCAAGTTTTAAAATCTTATATCCAGCCAAAAAAGTCTTTTTGATCTTGTTTTGAGACTGATTTACTAAACAAGAACTGATTGTGTAAGAATAATCATCTTGTTTTCAGAATGTGTCAGATTATTTGTCTTGTTAACCTGAAAATTTGCTATAACTGCTCCTCAGTTTAACTTGTTTGTCGTGCTAACACCGAGCTAATACATATAAGACATAGCGTCAGTGCTAGCACAAAGGCTAACAGGCTAAGCTGAGGTTCTTCTTCCATGAAGC